GTGTGTGTGTGTGTGTGTGTGTGTGTGTGTGTGTGTGTGTGTGTTTGCGGGCTTATTTGTTCTGGTGTGTCCACTGTTTTTGTAGAGTGATAATGGCGAAAATTGTGAGGAGGAGTGAGATATTATATATGTCATAGCAGACCAGAACATAAACCTACCAGCTTTTTGCTTTTAATACATCAGGGTTCATATTGAGCAGATTTTTTTCGCCAAGACTTTTCAAGACTAAAGGTGGAAAGTGTTTGCCGTGGCATGTACCCTGGAGCAGGGTGAGAAAAGTAATGATGAAGATGATAATTTCATTTAAAAGAATTAAAAAGGCCTAGATAATATTATCATCATCATAAAAGATGGAGTGAACATTGTCATTCTGAATTTATGCTCGCGATCAGCTTGTTATTTCAGCTGAAGTGAAATGCCAACAGGCAGTGTGTTTTCTCATCCACTTTGTATGCAACACGAACAGGCTCTGACATGGAAAGAGAAAAAGAATCACATGCATGAAACCCTTACAAAATATTTACTCTCGCATCTGTGTTCCTTTCACATCTGCTCCGGTAACACACTTTAAAAGCCACTTTACTTACTCAATGAAAATAAGCAAATGCTCCAATTCAACTCTTATTATAATAATTATTGCATTTAGTTTTTACTCCCCCAAGCTCTAATATGTAGTGGTCTTTTCAATTCCTGAGTATGTTATTTGAACACATATAGAAGTATATAAAAAAATATAGGATTATAATATTGCAAAGAGTAGCCTACGTGTAACGAAGTGATCGGGTCCAGTATTTTCTAACAATAATAATGCTACTTACACATTTTACACTTTCTGGCCTACTGTGAAAATACACAACGGAAACTGTAGAAAGCATTAACTGTAAAATCATTGCTATTTGACTTGGAATCACATTTTGAAAAAGTTCACAATTTCAAAGAGAGGGGAGAGAGAGAGAGAGAGAGAGAGAGAGAGAGAGAGAGAGAGAGAGAGAGAGAGAGAGAGAAAGAGAAAGAGAGAGAGAATGAGAGAGAGAGAGAGAGAGAGAGAGAGAGAGAGAGAGAGAGAGAGAGAGAGAGACCGAGACAGACAGACAGAGAAGCTGATAGAGAGAGAGATCTATAGAGAAGGGCGGGGGGGGGGGAGGTTGAGTGTGGAAGTGGCGGATAGAGAGAGCAAGAGCAAGAGACAAAGAGGGTAGAAAAGACAGAGAGAGAACGAATGAGACGGAAAGAGAACGAGAGAGAGGGAGAGATAACGAGATAGACCGAGGCTTTTCAAATTATGACTCATTCTACATTTTCTCAAATAAGGTATTCAATGCTTTAATTCGCACTTTATTTTTACTTTTACAAAGTGCAAAGAGCCCTAAACCAATAATAAAATGACTGGATGTTGACAGAACAAGAGCAAAGAACTGGTTTCTGTCATGATGAACACTGAAAAATTAGAGAGCAAAACAGACTGAAGGCATCCGTTCCCGATTACAGAGTGGCATTCATGTGCACAAATAATATCATTTGAAACTCAAACACATAGATTTATTATAGTTTTCATTACACGAAAAAATAATATAACATTTTAGAAAAAGAATAAAACGTAAATGATGTGTTTGTAGTATACTCTTTTTTTTTCTTTCTGAAAGCTGTTCTACGCTGCTTCTCAGCACAATTTAAAAGATAAATCTACTTGAAAGTTACTTGCGAAACCATTGTAAAATTTTCTTCGCCGCAAAGGTTACTGCTGGTGCCACAAAAGCAGATGCAATAGATTTGAATATGTCTATAAAAAATGCGCCCCAGCCCTGCTTTCGCTCTCTCTGTTCATTTTCAAGGTGCCTCAAATTCATGGTATACTGTTCCTGCACCAGACGCATTTTTCTTTCTTTTTCGCTTTTATCCAGCTTTGCTTTCATGACTTCCATATGACTGTTAATGTTTGTTATGATGCTTTTCACGACTTGATTAAGTTGTTGTAAGACTCCCGTGCCTTTGTCCTGTTCAGCAATCTCCACCTCCAGTTCTCTGGCGTCTTTTTTAAGCTGGTCAAACCTCTCTTTGGTTACTGGGTCCAGTTCAGAGCATTGCCTCAGACTGTTCAAACCGTCCACCAGGATATCAATTTTGGCCTGAATCTCTTCTCTTAACTTTGGGGCATTCTCCCTAACGATAAGTTCCTCTCTGCCCTTTGCAGCTTTATCAAAAGCTTCGTTTGTGTAGCGCTTACCCCTGCTCTTTAAACCGTCCACTATTCCCAACAAGATTTTTAGTTGGTCCTCCATTTTTTCTTCATCCGAGTTATAAAAAAGCACAGCCCTGTTGTCACATTCATTAAACAAGTCATTTATAGCTCCTTTTTGCTCGCGTCGCCAGTCTTCAAAAGAGATGGGCGGGTTCCGTTTTTTGTTGTTTATGTCAAAGAGCTCTCCATGGGTAAACACCAGGATGCAAAAGTCTTTGACAAAAGCTGGCCCAAACAGAGACTTGAGAAACTCTATTGTACCAAATTCTTCTTCTGTAAAACGGTTCCCATATTTCAAAACAAGAAGCAGGGCATGAAAACCCCGAGGGCACTGAACTATTCCTTGCCCCATGTCTTGAACCATTTTCTGTACTGCATCTCCCCTCTGCATACGAGTATCACCAATCCCTGGACCATCAACTACCTTGACCTTCCTTCCGTCTCGGCGGGCCCAGCCAACCTGAACATCATAGGTGTCCGATTCTGTGTTGTCTGAAACATGAAACGCTTCTCGGCCCAAGATAGAGTTTCCAGAAGAGCTCTTTCCATGGCCAGTTTTCCCGATGAGAAATAAGTCGATACTGTCATCTGATCCCGGAGACGCCATTTTGCCTGTGAACGAGAAGAATTAATAAACATTTTTAAAACATGTTATTTTTTAAACATGATTTTTAAAAAAGAAATTATCATTATTCCAAAAACTTAAGAAGTTCCCATTTTCTGCGAGTTGGCTGTTTAGGTCTATATAATATGTATAATATGTATTCATTTCATAGCGGATTTTTCCATTAAAGTGAAAGCACTCTGATGTTTGATAGTTAAAGCTGTATATTAGCTTTTGTGCCGAGGAAAACCTGGGCAGAAGATTACGAAACTATCAGACTCTTCAATAATTATGAGACCAGAGACAGGAAAAACAAGGACATTATACACCGTCCCAGGGCTGGTGTGAAATGTCACCGCAGGAAAAGAGACAAATCAAAAGGGACTGATGTGAAATATCACAGCAGGAAAAGAGACAAATCAAAAGGGACTGATGTGAAATATCACAGCAGGAAAAGAGACAAGTCAAAAGGGGCTGACGTGAAAATATCACCGCAGAAAAAGAAACAACTCAAAAGGGCAGGTGGAAGAAAGGTTTCTGCAGGTCTCTTGTTGCTGTACTCGACATAATCAATAGTTTAATCTTACCGATGAACATATTATAGCATTTGGCATTTGAAAATTAAACATGTTTGAACCACAGCTGATCAAACAGGTATGTTTTACGAGGTTGTAACCGAAGGTATTTTATGCTCCCATCTACATGACAATGTATTCCGATCAATTTGGAGGATGGCGTTTTCGACCCTGCCCGTCAGCGCTTATCTGCGCTATCGGGAGTATAATGTCCCAACAGACGGGCAGCATGCTAGCAATACTTGATTAAAAAGAGGGGAAAAGCCCTCCATACGCGGGAATCGATCTCGATCAAGTCTTATGCATGCAATGGCAAATAAGTGCCTTAAATTGCTACACCATCTATAGACACTAAACTGTTGCTATTCTCAAGCATAAATAACCCAGAGCATGGTAGATCTAGTTGTATTGCTTTAAGCCTCCCTTATATGGAATAGAAAACAGAAGCCGAAAACAGAAAGCACTATAACTACCAGACTGCCAAGGTAAAGCTGAAGACCAAAAGTGCGAAAAGACAAACATGGAGAGAATACTGTGGAGAACTAGACCTGCGTAAGGACGGGAGGAAAGCCTGGAACCTGCTTACCAATCTCTCAGGTACAAAAAGAAGGAAAAACCCCGCCCCAATGAAACCAACTCAGAAAGGAGAAACATGCAGAGCTGAGGTTATGAATAAATACTTTGCTAGCATCAACAAGAAAGGAAACCAAAACAAACTGAGCCACGCAATAAAGCAGCTAACCAAAAGGGTAGAACAGACCCCCAAGGCAAACATGGAGGTGTTTGAGAAGGAGTTTACTCTGACGGAATTGAAGGCAGCCCTCAAAAAGTGTAAAAAGAGAAAGGCCCCAGGACCAGACCATGTCACCAATGAGATGATCCTCAACCTGACCGACTCTTCCCTCTCCATACTCCTGGGCTTCTACAACAGGACCTGGAATGAGGGACAGCTCCCAACAGAATGGAAGAAAGCAAACATCACACCGATATTAAAGAAGGACAAACCAGCAAGCCAGCCTTCAAGCTACAGACCAATCTCTTTAACATCATGCCTGGGTAAGGTCGTTGAGAGAATGGTCAACGACAGACTTACTGGTGGATGGAAAGCCAGGAACAATCAGCACCTCACAGGTAGGATTCAGGAAAGGCAAAAGAACTATGGACCACCTCATCAGATTTGCCCAGAAGACCAGCGATGCCTTTCAAGATAAAGACAACGTTGTGGCTGTCTTCATCGACCTGAGGCAGGCGTATGACCGTGTGTGGAGACAGGGTTTGTTCTACAAAATGCAAAAGCTTGGGATAGCAGGAAGGATGTACAGCTGGATCAAGAACTTTCTGTCTTGCAGAACTATCCAGACGTCATGTGACAACAAGATTTCTTCACAGAGGACACTTGAGGAAGGCCTCCCACAGGGGTCAGCACTCAGCTGTACCCTCTTCCTGTTGTTTATGAACGACTTGCCAGATGTCATCTCCTGCCAGAAAGCAATCTACGCTGACGACTTACTCATATGGAGCAAAGGAAGTGACATGAGAGCACTGAACCAAGCCATCAACGCAGACCTGACAACTATCTCGTCCTACTGCCAGCTATGGAAGATGTAGATCAACACAGACAAGACTGTTTTTGGACTCTTCAGCCTTAAAAACAAAGTTACAGCAAGTCAGGTAAACCTTAAGATCAATGGAACCACCATCAGACATGAGGACTATCCCAAGTACCTTGGTGTACAACTGGACCGAAAGCTGTCTCTCAAAGTGCACTTAAGGGAGCTGACCAAGAAAGCCACCTCCAGACTAAACCTCCTGAAACACCTTTCATCACTCAACTGGGGAGCTGAAAAAGCAACCCTCCGACAACTTTATATAAGGTATGTCAGATCTGTGATTGACTACTCCCTACCACTACAATCCATAGCCAGCCAAAGCTCCCTGGCACAGCTTGACAGAGTACAGAACCAAGCACTCAGATTTGTTTCTGGCGCGATGAAGACCACGCCTACAAGCGCCTGCGAAATCAACACCAACATAGAACCACTGGACCTCAGAAGAAAGAGTGCTGCACTCGAAACCTATGAAAGATTTGTGCGGCTAGAAGACACGAACAAAAACAGGAAAATGGCAGATGAGTGGGAACCAAGAACACGCATCCAGAAGACCTCCTTTATGCGAGAAGCAACAAAACTACTCGAGGTGTATGACCCACCCAAGAACAGAGAACCAATCACCAACATCAGCAGCGAACCTCCATATTGGCAGACACCAGAAATCACAATAAGGACGAGACTTCTAGACCCTTCTTGTGACAAGACCACACCAGAAGAAATACTCAGAACTAGCGCCCTGGAGACAGTGGACTCGTATGCTGAAACTCCAATCCATGCATACACAGACGGGTCAGCAACAAACGCTACACGAAATGCTGGATACGGATCCTAGACAAAGCCTGCTCTACTCTGGCGCTGACCAGATGACAAGGACTTGTGCTTACTTGAGGGAGGCATTGCGCTGCCAAGAGCGAAATGCTCGCAGCTAAAGGGATTTGAAAACAACAACAACAACATATGGAATAGAAAGTAAAAATCTGTGGGGCTATTTAAAATGTATTTCATTGGCCTGCTGCTAAAATGGAACAAGCTGAAAATTTTGAAATGTATATCTGTTTCTTTATCGGTGATACTGGTTGTCGATCAGACCTATGTGATCAAGAAACATTTTGACAAAATTCAAATTTTAACAGTTGACAAAAGCATGAACATGTATAAGATATAGGTATAAGTGTTAAAAGAATGAATTGGCTTTTTTTTTTCTTTCTCTCGTTCCTGTAAAATTTTGCTTTCAGGGCAAAGAACATTTTAACAGCTTCCATTTCTGCAATCAATTATATTGTCTTTTAAAAAAATTAAATAATAATAAATAGCATTTGTAAAGCGCATATCCCCGCTCAACAGCAGGCTCTATGCGCTCTAGAGAGTAGAATTTTTTTCTATTGAAAATCAAAATGGTTAGAATCAAAGCTGAAAAATAAGCTATCGATACAGCGTGCAAAGACATGAAAAATGATATTGAAAATGTGTAGGACGTATATGGGAAGGAAGATTCGATCTTCTTTTGTAAGCAACCTGCTGATCCAAGCCTTCAAAAATCAAACTTCAAACTCTACCGGGGGGGGGGGGGGGTGGAAAAGTGAGTTGAGCAGAGTGAGCAGAAAGTCATACATTAGAACGATTAATTTGATTTGGCTCAGCTTGTCTGGGCTCATAATAATATAACATAATATAATATAATATAATATAATATAATATAATATAATATAATATAATATAATATAATATAATATAATATAATATAATATAATATGATTTGATATAATATTAATATAATATATAAATAATATAATATATAATGCTGAACTGGCTGGCTCATTTTTTTTTTGTAGAAGAATTTTTAGTCAAGAATTTATAAAAGCAATTGCATGCTCAGCCTAGTAGAGCATAATATAGCTAATGACGTACGTTGCAGCAATCGCAATGAATGCACCACGTTATGATTAAACATAGCAGAGTGAATTATACCCTCTAAACTGAACACAATTTCAAATCCTAAAACCTGGATAAACCGAAGACTATACAACCGTAAACTCCACTGAGGCTTCACATTATGAGGCCTATTCTATATCACACTGAAAAGGATATTATACTAATTCGAGTGGAATTTCTCCGCTCTTATTATTAGCCTTATTAAATTGATTCACTATTTTAAACAGTTTGGTTATATAATAATATTTTTTTAAATCAATTAATTTAGATTAGTAGGCCTATAGAGGCTACAATATAGACCACACATAACTGCGCCCCCCCTCTAGGAGAAACAAAAAACAAAAAACTTATAATAGTAGCCCCCCCCCCCCCACTATAGCCAGGTTAGCTGCGTGGTAGATAGCTACACCTTTAAAAAGGGAAGTCTACAATTTAAAGGGGTGGATTTTTTTTTAACATATGTTGAAACACACATACATAGGCCTACGTATGCATGCATGATGCATGCACACGCATGCGTGCGCAATGCGCACACAACTCCACACATGGCATTTACACTAATAATAATATACACACACAGAGTGGATCAGGTGAGCCTTGCAGCTACCATAATGACAGTAGATGGTACTACCTGCAGCTGTTCCTACTGCCTTGTAAGAGCATACGGGAGTATGAAAGGTTAAGGGAGTAAACCCTAAACAAATCCGAAGGGAGGGCCCCTACGGTAGTCGACAGGGAGGAACGATCCGAACTATCTTCTGGCAGCCCCTGCAACTTTACTGATTCCAAATGTATTGACCTCGTCTCTCCTTTGGACTAAATCAGCTAAGTCGAGAGGGGGCTCGTGCAAATTGGGCAAGGCACGTTCTACATACAGTCGGGCCCACAGGCATTTAGCTTAGTCAAGATTTCAAGATTTCTGGGAGGACGCTGCAAAAGAGCAAATACAGCGGATCAGACCCACAGCTCAACCACAGCTTCAACGGCATTTATGTGATTATGGAGAGGACACTTCATCCTTGTTGTGACGAGCAAGGGAAAAAAACATGGGAGGTGGCAGTTTACGGGTTATAAGATATCCTTATTTGGCGAAACAGGATGTCGCCACAGGTCACCTTTGACGATGGGAGTGACTATTCAGTCGCACTGATCAGCTACCGCCCGTCTCAAACCGGGCAGCCCCCAATCAGTAAGGTGCTGATCCACCACATCTGTTTGCTTCTATGGATGTGTGGAGCTAGGACAAAAACCGAAAGGAAGACGTTAAATCCAGCACCAGGCAAAAAAAGAGTAAAACTAACCCCATGGAAACTGGGCACCTGGAATATTAGAACAACCGGATTGGACACTACCAACCTGGAGAAAACAGAGGACATCAGAAAGACAGCAATCATAGACAGGGAGCTCACACGACTCAATGTAGACATCACTGCCCTGCAAGAGACAAGACGTGTTAACTCTGGTACCATTATGGAAAGAAACTACACATTCTTCTGGAAGGGTCTTGGGGAAGATGAGAGGAGAATCCATGGTGTGGGCTTTGCAGTACACAACAGATTGCTGAACAGGATCAGCACCCCCAAGGTATATCCGAACGTATCACTGTCATGGAAATGGAAACCAAAACTGGAAAGGTTCACTTCATCAGCGCCTACGCCCCAACCCTAACAACAGAAAATGAGAAAAAAGACCAGTTTTACGAGGAACTTCAGGATGCACCCAACAACGTCCCAAAAGCAGACCAACTGTTTCTCGTGGGCGACTTCAATGCAAGACAGAGTAGGTACTGAAAACAAAGTATGGCGCACCTGCCTTGGATCTTTTGGGCTGGGAAAAATCAACGAGAATGGTCAGAGACTCCTAGAATTCTGCACAAATAACAACCTTTGCATTACTAACACTTTCTACAGTGGCAAGGACAGACAAAGGTTTCTTGGTGCCATCCAAGATCAGGCCGTTGGCACCAGATCGACTTCATCATTGTCAGAAAGAAAGATGCCAACATGAAAGCAAACAAGATCCTTCTACAGTGCATACTGCAGCAGAGACCACCTTTTAGTTATTGCTAAGGCAAAGATAGTCACAAAGAAAACACCAAGAGCTGAAAAACAAAAGAAACCTAAGATCAACATAAGAAATACCCCAGCGTTGAAGGCAAAATTTCAAGAACATGTTAAACAAGAGCTCCACACCTAGATATCTCATCCCCAGACAACATGTTATATTGAATAGCATGAGATCAACAAATAATAATTCTACGTTGATTACTTTTGGAATAGAAAAACCTTGCAAGGAGGACTGGGTTGAAGCCAGTGCATCAACAGTCGCACCACTACTCGAGAAAAAGCGTAAGATCCTGAAAGAACATAACACAAATCCAACAGAGAGCACTAAGCAACAACTACGTGCTGCTAAATTCAACCTTCAAAGAGAAAACAGAAAGTGTGCCAATCAGTACTGGGACAAGTTATGCTCAGAAATCCAACAGGCAAGCAATACAGGTAATATCAGGAAAATGTATGAAAACATCAGATTTGCAATTGGACTAACAGCAAACAAAGTCTGCGACAGGTGAACAGCTGACAGACAAGAAGAAACAAATGGAAAGAAGGGTGGAACATTATTCAGACTTATACTCAGAGGACCGACATGTTGATAGACAGCTACATGAGGCCATTCCTCAGCTCTCCAAAATGACAGAACTTGACACAACACCAACAGAAGAAGAACTCTCCTCTGCAATTGATGGAATCGCTTGTAGAAAAGCAGCAGGAAATGACAACATACCTGCTGAAGTGCTGAAAGAGAACAAAGAGACCCTCCTCCCATATATCTACAAGCTACTAACGACTTGTTGACTGAAAGCAGAAATTCCACATGACATGAGAGATGCCTAAATCACCACACTCTACAAAAACAAAGGGGACAAAGGAGATTGCAAAAACTACAGAGGTATCTCACTGCTAAGAATCACTGGAAAAGCTTTCGCAAGGATCATCCTGAAGCGACTTCAGAAACTAGCAGAAAGAGTGGACTACCAGAGAGCCAATGCCGTTTCAGATCAAACCGCTCAACAATGGACATGATCTTTTCTATTCCTCAGCTACAAAAAAAATAAAAAATGCAGGGAGCAACAACTGCCATTACATACTGCGTTCGTCGGTCTGACAAAGGCTTTTGATACAGTCAGTACTGTAGATCAGGACTGTACATGGTGCTTGGAAAAATTGGCTGTCCCCCAATACTGCTACAGCTCATCATCTCATTCCACGAAGATATGAAGGCCACCTTTCAGTTTGACGGTTCAACATCAAAAAGTTTCAACATCAATAGCGGAGTAAAGCAAGGTTGTGTCTTAGCACCAACCCTTTTTAGCACTTATGTTGCTGTTTTACTGCAACATGCATTTAAAAAGTCACCAGGGGATGTCTTCCTCCACTGGAGAATTGATGGGTCGCTCTTCAATCTTGTTCGACTCAAGGCCAAGACCAAGATCAACAAAACAATAGTACGAGACCTTCTCTTCGCCAATGATGCTGTTCTTGTTGCTCACAGTGAATCAACCCTACACACAATGATGGACCGCCTATCAACAGCATGCAAGGTCTTTAGCTTGGTCAGCAGTGTTAAGAAAACAGTCATCCTTACCTAAGAAGGTGCAGAGAGCAGCCATAAGGCTGAATGATAAGGAACCTGAGACAGTGGACAATTAAGTTCTGTTACCTGGGGTCTACCATCAGCTCTACTACATCACTTGATTATGAGATCAACACCAGGATAGGGAAAGCAGCAACAACTCTTGGAAGGCTGACAAAACGAGCATGGGAAAACAAAAGATTAACCATCAAAACAAAGATCAAGATTTACGAAGCATGTGTCCTCAGCACACTCCCTTATGGATCTGAAACATGGACTTTGTACAACAGACAAGAAAAGCGCCTCAACATTTTCCATCTCAGACGCTGCCGCAAGATCTTATAGGCATTTCGTGGCATGACAAGGTTACAAATGTTGAAGTGTTGGCACCGGCAAACCTCCAGAGCATGACAACTATCCTGTGTTTAAAAAGATTGAGATGGCTGGGCCATGTCAAGAGAATGGACGACAACCGGATTTCGAAGCAACTTCTCTATGGAGAACTTGCCCAGGGAAAATGAGACCAAGAGGAGGACCAAAATTGAGGTACAAATTTAAGACACCTGCAAAAACAGCTTATCAGTGCTTGGAGTATGTTAAGCATCTGGGAAGAATTACAGGAAAACATGGAGGAAAAATTATAAAGGAAAGAACTATAATGCTACAGAGCAGCCTTAGAAACAACCAGGCTGAGAAGCGCCAACGACGAAAGGAAAACAGCGGATATACAGAGCTTCGATGGACGACACTGACATGCAGGCACTGCGACAGAATAATCTACGCTTCAAACATGAAACATACTTCCGTAAAACATAAGGAAAAATTAGCCATGAAAAAAGCTCCGAAGACAACCTTGAGACCATCTTAAACTAAATTGACCGTCTGCATAGACGAAAAGAGCCATTTACTACATGTATACATGTATTAATATTATACACACAGTAGGCTAGCACGTAGTACACACACGATACACACACACACACACACACACACACACACACACACACACACACATTAAAACAATGTACTACATCCAGCAGTGGCCCTCTTATTCTTACCGTAGGCCTACTAGGAAAGATATAGACTTGAGACAACTTACTTGTTTAGATCCTGGTATGAAAAATCTTTCAAGTTGTCAAGTATTTGCGACTGTGACTCTGTGAGTCTTGTAAATTTCTACAACTTGTGGGACTGCAGTCACGATAAACACACAAATTAACTCGTCTCTCGCTGTTGCCTTGACAAGTTCTTGAAACTGTAGATCATATCCTGTTCAACTTTACATCCGTGTGTCGATAATAAGCAGCGAGCCTAGGTCTATTTCACCTGCTTCACACAGTGCCTTTACATGCGCAAAACAGCGATTCCCAGGGAACTATTTTCTTAGAATAGAAAACCCAGAATGAAGGATCATGCATTTTCACCAAAATCATTTCCACAGAAAACCCTGCGCAATAATAATGACGAAACGTACGCACACCAACGCACACACCCCTTTCCTGTTAAGTCTGGGGCTAATAATAATATGCACGTAATAATAGTCTACGGGTTTTCCCGTTTATGATGTTTGAATCATGCCGTGCCATGATCGGGAAAACCCCAGCCATGACGGGTCCTGGTCCTACTACATTGTAATTTCCGTCCGGAGCCGTCTGGAGCCGTCCAGGGGCGGTCATCTTTTGCAGGTGCTGCAGCCATGCAGGTTGGGAGAGAGCATGAAAACAAAGGCTGGGTCAAGGAGCTTATTGTAACCTCCTTCAGCTTTAGGGCTGGGTCTACAATTTCTAAACTGCGAAAAGACAAATAAACGATCAGAGATTGTCGGTCCGGTCTGCTTCGTCCAACTTCCGGTTCATAACAAATCAGCTGGGCCTCACCAGAAGTCAGAAAGGCCATAAAACTATAACAAACATACACATCCAAATCAAACAACAGACAAGGAGCTGACTTGAGTTTCATGATCTGTTGTTCTTTTATTTACTGAACTGAAGGAGAAACAAAACCGATTTGTTCCTACTAGTACAGGGGGTATGATGAGGTTGAATGTGCCCCCCCCCTCCTTTTTTTTCTTCATTCGATACCTTTTTAACTTTTTAATTTTAAAGGCCCTTTTACTTTTAGTTTTAGTCTAAGGCTTTAGACTTAGATCTATATATCTAGATCTAGATCTAGATCTAGATCTAGTAGTAGGCAGGCTAAGGCCTTATAGATCTAGATTTAGATTAGATCTAGATTCTAGATCTAGAATCTAGATCTAGATCTAGATCTAGCTATACTTACATCACGGAGGTTATTATAAGGTCCTTTGGCCTCTATAGTAGTCTATACTCTATAAATGCCTACATGGCACTTACTTAGCTTTCTAACCTCTAACCCATGACCTCTGACTGTTTTGTTTGGCTGTTTTAGTTTTTACAGAAAAGTTCTTAATTCTTGTAATACTTACACAAACTTACTTTTTTCTTCTTCCATTCAGCATCGGCATCGATTGCGAAAATGTCGTTAGAAGTGACCACAGATGAGGATGGGTTTCGATTGCCTTTACTTCGCACAAAGGATGGCAGATTTGCTGGCAACACTTTTGTTCAAGATACCATTGACAACATGCCATCTGTAAAACTGAGGGATAACGATGTCTTGTTCTGCTCGTATGCAAAGTCAGGTAGATATTTAGTAATTAAGCTTATAGACCTGGCCTAAAGTAATATTATAAAATAACACTTTGCTTTGTCATCATGATAGTTCTGTTGCTGTCGTGTTCACTGGCTTTTTGTTTGTTCGATAATGACGTTGATTTTTTCCCCTTCCCTCTCCATCTATGAATAGATATCTAGATCTAGATCTAGATTCTAGATCTAGATAGTCTAATTAAAATTAAACTGCCTAGTTTCTAGATCTAGATTCTAGATCTAATAAAACAAAACATCAATTAGGAGTTTTTATAATATAATTAGGCCTAGGCTTTATAAATTATTGTTGTAACATTCATGTGTTCACCTTTCCGAAGAATGGCCGTTTTAATCCTAAACGTGTTTAATTCAAGAAAAAAATACAGGATATTACAATTAAATGATGGAATCACACACAAGGGGCGTGCCAGTGTCAGTATTTGGTTTTGATGGAGACACACTCAATATAATACAGTTATATTTTTTCAAAATATAGGAACTACATAGAATTAAATAACATTATGCTATAAAAACACACACACACAAAAAAAAAAACACAACACAGATGAGAAAATAAAATTCAAACAGCAATAAATAGTTTATGTAATCTTCGCCTGAAAATGACTAGAACTATACACGGATGCCTAAAAAATTATCAAAATACATGTCTACTAAGTAATAGGTTATGAAGTAATTTTTTTTCCTGGAAAGATGCTAAAAATCGAGGCCGCGATTCGCAGACAGAAAAATGCCAAAAATCACGGCCGCGATGCGCAGGTCGCGGCCGCAACAAACGCAGATACTAGCATATTACCCATAGCCAGACCAGCATTATTCTCAGTCAACAACAAGATTCCATTTATTTTCATTTTCACAACTGAAGTTCAAAGCAGCATGGGCTTCTAAGCCACTGAATTTTGATAGAGCAACAATAATATCCTTCTTCTGAGGAGCTCAATACTAATTATTTCACCTTGCCTTGTTGCCAGGTGCATTTAATTTACCATCAAGGTTTTTCCATCTCTTTTCAATTCTGCACCCAATGACTACTGTATAATGCTCACAGAGTCTGGGTAACCGATAGATCAAGATTTTCTAGTACTTGACCTGCGCTTTCTTCAATCAACGTTTTCCTTCTGGGATTGATACGAATTCACTCTTTTTATCTCAATATCCTTTGAAAGTTTCATTTTAGTTTCAACTTTCTTATATTCAGTATTCAAATATTTAAAAAAAGTATATTTGGCCGTTAATGATAATGTTGGTCACTCTTGTACTACCACAACTACATCAGTTACATAAAAAATCAAGACTTACTTGCCCCTGACTCCTGGCTCTGCGGATGATTTTGTTTTTAATCTTACTAAGTAGCTGGGGTAGTGTAGGAAAGTTCAACAAAACTTTAATCAATTTGAACAAAAATGACATTTCTCGAGAGCTAAATGATATACAGTGGAATCCTGTTATAATGAGAGGGAGGGGACCGAAGCGAAATGTCCGTTATAGCAGGATTCTCGCTATACGGGATCCAGTAATAAATTCAAGGGAAACTGTTAAGTAGGCCTAATCTATGAGTTTGGTGTTCTGTTTTTCCTTTTGCCATCTCCCCTGATGATGATTTTGTTTCAACATGACCTCTAGGTCTTACTTGATAAAAAATCGAATCAGGTTTGTTTCTCCAGCACCAGATCAAGCGATGTGGACTGATAGCTTAGCGTTGGCGATCAGAAAGAAAGGGCTCTTGGCTAACTCGCCCGCTGTGTTTCCCCCCCAACCCAACCCACCCTGTGGTGCATTCTGTTTGCTTGCACACGTCACACATTCGCTCCATCCTTCACATTGCTGTGACCTCTCCATCCCCGCATTGGAGAAGTGAGAGGCATGGCAGGCCTTGATAATCTAAACTGGCCTATCACGTGATGCGTTCTGCTTGTCTGCGCATGCCACACCCTCCCTACTCAGTTGCTACGGCCTTCATTGTTGACGCACATGGGCTTTCCTATTCTTTGTTTCGCAAGATCAGCAACAAGTTTCTCAACTGGCGAGGTCTTGCATTATGTATAATTGGCCTATGCCATGTGCACAGCAGCAGCAATATTCTGCTATAACCGACTCGCAAGTGTGTCTGATAGCGCTATAGCAGTATTTTGTTTACAAAGGTAAAGAGGAGAAAAAAACAGGGTTTTAGAATAGTGCCTTTATAACAGACTTCTCGTTTTTTCCGGACTCCTTATAAGTGGACTCCACTGTATCTATCAATATAACTTGCCCCAGGAGCGTTTCCTATCGTTGATAAAAAACAATTTGTAAGATGAAATGTCTATTTTACCATAACTCTTTACAGAAGCACCGTACAAACTCTGGGTGGGTTGTAAGCTCTTCAGCGTCCAATTCTACTACAGAATCACACGATTTCTACAGCCACCTACAACGATTAGCAAATGGAAAATTCCGCTCGAATAAACCGTCCGAAACGCGCTACGCTTTAAATTCGTCAAAATTCTGCTTTGTGGCAGAACGCGTAACGACCCTTGTAGTTTTAACTCAAATATCTATAATGTTACGAATTTCTCTCCCCATTGAAACTAACATGGGAAACGAAAAGCATATATAGACTCTCGTTTCATTTTTGTTTTATGATGCTAGGCCAGGAACTAATAAAGTTATGAGCTTAGACAGAGGAAAAACCGGGATTTTCGCAGAAATCCCCACTCGTCGGGCGCATGTAAAACCCCCTAATATTACAATTTACGCCCACAAAAAGAAAAATTGACCAGCACCTGATTCCACCTCGACATCGCGACACATATATCCACAACAACACCCAGACTATTGTTTTTTATGTTAAATTCAAGTGAAAAGGGGGAAAAATCAACAAATAATTAAGAAGCGGAAAAATCAATGTCACTTCTTCAGCTTGAGTAAAGAACACTTATCCTCGCCTCAAAGACAGGTCTCTACACTGCAGTCTTTTGTAATAGTGTGTTTGATTTATATTAATTCATAATAATATGTGACACAGCGTGGTGAAATCAGGCACTTGTAAAAATCATGAAATCCGAGACATCTGCATTTTTCAGCCAGTTTGGAATTTTTGTTTCAAATTTTTTTTTTTTTTTGTTCAACACCTTGTATGTCCATTCAAAAACACTTTTATTTTTATATGTGGATTTTATGGAAAAGCGTTGATTAAAGGCACCAAAAAAGTGAAATTACAGTTTCCAAGGACTCTTTAAAGCTATGGAAGTCTGCAAACTTTGGCGGCCATTCTCTCTCTAATTTTGCCTCTGAAACCAGGTGACCCCACCTCCTTCAGTCGCTCATATCTCGACTTCTATTCAAGATAAATGGATATTTTTTTCATCGAAAACAAGGCAAATGAACTTACTTTACTTTTACTTTATCCGCCGCTTTTACCCTTTTGGGTGTCGTGGGAAGAAAGAGACGTCTCTCTGTCGCCAGCCGGAGACCTTGGGTCAGGGGGATGCCGTGGGTGGTTAATGTTTCCCTGACTCCATCTATCCAGGTCTTTCTCGGTCGCCCTCTAGCCTTGTTGCCATCAAATTTTTTGATGTAGGCACGTTGTGAACATCCTTTAAAATGACATTAATAACTCCATATATACCCTAATATTGATGAGCACCTGATTCCACCCCGTTGTGACACATATTGTGTTATGCCGCTGAAGAAAAAAAAATGTTCGTGATGAAGGATCACTACTTTGTCTTTCTATTGAAAAAAATGTTGGTTTTTTTTTCCTTTTCTTCTATTCCATTTCGCAAAGGTTGCCACTGGATATGGCAGAATGTTCGCATGCTGCATCAAGGGGAGGTAACTGATGATGCTGTGGACAAGGAGGGTTCAATGATGGAATATCACGACATTGATTACCTGGACAATCTGCCGTCCCCTCGATTTCTAAATACTCATGTATTCTTTGATAAACTTCCCTCAGATTTGTTGAAGGTATTTGACCACTTTGTTGTCTTCTGCTTCAGAAATAATGAAATACTGGCATGACAATATCTGCTCTTGTTTTAGTGTCAATCTTTTTTTTCTCTTAAAGACTTTAATGTAAACAGATATCACTTATTTGGTGTGCAGTTAAGTTCAGTTAACATTTACAACTTTTACTTACTGTTGCAGTAGTCTAACAATAGTAATCTAACAACAATTACTGTTTAATGACTTTCATCAAGGGAAATTGACCCTTCCAATTCCAACCCCATGCGCATATATTCTTCAGCCGCACTTGTACCTCCCACAGTCCCAGAAGTGCACTCTCAGTTTCAGGGGGTAACAAATTTGTGCATTTTTTGAAATTAGTGAACCTAATTAAACTAATTTTCATAATATTTGTTCGTTTATCTTTAAACATTGTTATATAATGTGTTATTGTCTAAACCTCATTACAAAAATACTACATCAATTTTTAGAATGCATTCCTCTTTGTCTGAAATACTGCTGTATTGGCTGGGACTGGGGTTAGGGAGTGCACAAATATGGCTGGGGCTGGAAGGGTTCATTAAAGACAAAAGTGGACTATGTTGCTATTTGCTGGCTGTACTGATACATAATTCTTGTTTTGATTTGTATTTGCTGAATTTTTTTTTTCTTTTTCTCTGTAAGGGAAACGTGAAGATGGTCTTTGTATATCGAAATCCCAAAGACATTGCAGTCTCCTTTTATCACCATCACTCCCGCCTCAAATCGTATGGATATGAAGGGAAGTTCAGCAACTACATCAAGAGGTTTGCAAGTGGTCTCGGTAAGCAGAACAGAATATTCACCCAGTTTTGTTTGAAAATATAATATATGCCATTTTGAAGGTGTATCACTTGTTCTCCGGATAAGAGAATCGGGCAGACAGAAAAAAAATATGTATGTATCTACATATAAGCTACCAGGAAGGAGAAAAAGTTTGGAACACCTCAGGGATTTGAATCCTCAAACATTAGCATTCAGAGCACGGGTGAGCTAAATAAAGATAACCCCCCCCCCCCCAAAGATACATTCATTTTAGTTTTATGTGAATCCCCTTTTCCTTTATCCTGGAGGCTCTTTTTATGTACTCCCAACTTAATTGAAGGTTTTGTTGATTTATCTCAGAAGGAAGAAAAACGAATTAGTTATTAATGTTACTGATGCTTTGTAAAGATTATCAACCATAAAGGGTTCTTTTATCCCAAATCATTGGATCATATCAATTCTGATGACTAATCAGCTAGGCATATTACACTGTAGCGTTTTACTGTATTTTTCTTTATTAAATCCTTGTGTTTGTTGATTCTTAAAACTTAAATTCGTGGGTGGTTGGTGGGTGGTCTGGTGTGGTTTTCTCCTTCTTTCCTATCAAACATCTATCGTTCTTGTCTCTCCTCCTTCTTTCTGGGAACACATATATATATTTTTTGGCACTTATATGACCTTATTGTGTTTCAAGTGCCTTAAAACTCTTACGAAGGAAAAAAAAACCAAACCAAAAAAACTTAGATTCTTTGTAAGCATTCCCTACTCTTCTCTCATGCTATAAGTAGCTTTCTTGCATACTTGACCTGTTACATTTAAGTCTGTGGCTTGAATCCGTGGGTCCGCATCATTTTTCCTATTCGTTCTTGAAATTTTTCTCTCAGTCTGATGTCCTGTTGAGGAATGAGTTCTCGTGGTAGGGGTGCCCTAATTGTGTCGTGCACACAGCCTTTCATTTTTATTATATGTGAATTAATGTTTCTTCTTCTGGTTTTACTTGCTTCTTCTTCCTCTTCCTGTTCCCCTTCCTCTCCTCTTCCTCCTCCTGAATATTATAAGCATTATCATATTATTAGAATTTATTTTTTCATTTACTTTAAAACTTTTAAAAATTATTATATCATTATTGTTATTATTGTTTTCACTTTATTTATTATTTAACATTTTTATTTTTGTCGTTTTTTTTATTTTTGTCGTTTATAATAATAATACCCCATAATAATTATCTTTATTGTTATTGTTATCATTGTTATTATTGTTATTGTATTGTGATGATGATGATGATGATGATGATGAGGATTATTATTATTGCTATTATCATGTTGAACTGCTGCCCCAGCCACAATCAACCTTGTCCTTGTTTCTCTCCCTCCTACACGTTTGCTGCTTTCATTCAGTCAGCAACAACAGCATATTTGACTACTGGACCTCGTTTGATCAAGGCCTTAGGAAGAACCCACAGATTCCCCATATTGTGATGAGCTACGAAGAGTTGAAGAAGGTCTGTAATTAGAGTTTTTGGCCCCTCGTTGCCTCCTATCTGAATCTTGTGGATCAATATATATATTGATATATATATATACATACATATATATATATATTCAATAACACATACTTTAGCTACAACCAGCAGAAATAAATGACCCTTTGCCAATAGGTAGGGGTTTCTTCATATACCTTACAAAATCCTTTCCTATTCCAATAAAAATTGTGCTACAGCTTTGAAAATTGTATATGTTGTGCTTAATATGATGTTTCAGTTAAGGGAGCAGAGAAATGGCAGTCGGGCCATCAGAAGAAATCTTACAATTCTTTTTAGTTCTGAAATCAATGTATTTTTAGAATGGAAAACGTGACGCGTAGAGTTTGTACTTTTTCTGTCATCAAGTTCTACAATGAAATAATTGCTGAGAAACTCGTCCTTCTACACTTTTACAACTCTAACTACATTATTTGTGGTGCTATATCAGGAAGAATGATGTCTATAGCTGTTTTTTCTTTGTGAGCCTTCTAGATTTTCATATTCCAGCATCACTCGTGCAGTCATTTTGCAAGGCAACTTCGATTCCGCATGTCTTCGTTTCTATCTGCCACTTTGGGGCCCTGGAACAAACATATTATCGTTCAATGTTTACTCTCTGCCCTGACTGATTCCGAGGCTGTAACCATACATAATTTTGCAGAAAACGGAAATACCGCGATGCCTCATACTCTGTCATCATTTGTTATATTCGAAAGAACCAATCAGAAAACGAGAAATAATAGGGGTGGAGGAACGTGCATTGTTCCTGTTGATCCATTCAAAGCATATTGTTGTGCGATGTAAGACGGCGAGAAGAATAACGATGCATGAGACTAATCCATTTAAGTTTTCTTATGTCGTCATCAAATCTATACCTGTTATGTTCGAAAATTTAAACCAAATAATGGTTAACATCGCACTGCATTCAGATAGTCAAGTAGTGGTAGATCTAGATGCAACCACTCGTGCTTGGCTAGATGTCAACAAGAGGGAAAAATTTTATGTGAATTGATCATATTGTCCAAAATGAAGACAAACATTTATCCCTATGATGACTATGTGTCATCGTGGTTATGTTTGAAAGATATTTGGTATTTTGCATAGTTATAGTAAAATGTGAATTAAGTGGCATTTTTTCACCATTAACATGCCTTATGAGTCAAACTGAATCACCTGAATCTTTGTTTGCCAAAATTTCCAAAAAATGAAGTAAAAGATGAAAATGGAAAGTTTTTTCATTTCCTCGGGACATAACTATGATGACACAAATGCAAACACAAAGGCATTCAGAATTTCTTTTTTCTGTGATTTTATATGCTCTTCATTCTTATGTTTGAAGATTAAAGCAATGAGAAAATTATTAAAATAATTTTATGTTCAGTAAAATACTTTTCAGGGTATTTTTCATTTTGTGTTATCCTGGTTATTTTCGAAAGATATTATATATTTTGCAGGGATTCATAGTAAAATCTGAATAAAGTGGCATTTTTTAAATCATTAACTTGCATTGTGAGTCAAACTGAATCTTCTGAATCATTGTTTGCCCAAATTTTCATCAAAGAAATTAAGATATGAAAACGGAAAGTTTTTCATTTCTTTCGGACATAACTATGATGGCACAAATGCAAACACAACTGCTTTCAGAATTTCTTGTTTCTCTGATCCTCACCTTTTTATATGCTCTTCATGCTTATGTTTGAAAATCAAAGAAGAAAACTACAACAGAAAATTCACACCCTATCTGCAACAGGAAAAAATATTGTGTTCACATGGATACCTAGCCATGTGGGCATCTGAGGAAACGAGTACGTAGATGACCTGGCGAAGCAATCCTCATCCCTTCTGTTGGGATCAACGACGGACACTCTCCCAGAGCCACTGGTGGAAAAAACACAAAAATAACAAAGTCTATAATAAATAACCCAAACAGGGACTGCAAAATCCTTCGGACCTCTCCAGAAGAGACGAAGTCATTTTTATTCGATTGCGCATCGGACACACGGCCCTGACTCACAAATACCTCCTACAGGGAGACGAGAAGCCGTTCTGTGTCGGATGCGAACCGACACAGATTTTACCATTAGACACATTTTAACCGAATGTCTAGACTTTGGAGAGATCCGAAGGAAATACTTTAAATGCAAAAGATTGCAAGACATTTTTTCCGTTGTTGGTCCCTTCAGAATTTTGGATTTTATGAGGGCCATTGGCCTTTATGGGAAGTTATAGAACAGAATTAAATTATTAAAAATTTTTATGAAGGTTATTTTACATTGAAATTATATATTTACACCAAATTTTAAATTTTTAAAGGTTTTAAGATCAAATGACCCATGCCCAGCTGTGCAGTGAACTGCCAATGAAAAACTAACTTATGTTTCGCGCGCTCATATGACCTTATGCAGTTGCAAGTGCCGTAAAACCCCATACTAAACTAAATAAGAAAACTGTCAAAATAATTTTGTATGTACAAATTCTTTAAAAATTGTCATCATAGATCTAGTTACGTCTGAAAGAATTTGACTTGACATTATGTAACGCCAGTTACACATCTTAGCATGCTGTCTGTAGGTTTATTGTAAATACATGTTTTTGTAGGAGGAGATATACACGAATAGAAAAATTCTAGTAAAAACGAAATATTAAAAACTTTATCATCTACCCTCTGTTCTACATTTTAGGTTCCCACCTTTTGGCAAAAGCTCAAATGTGTCACAACACTAGAATCAGGCACTCCTCAATTTTTGGACATATGGGGTTATATAATATATATATATATATATATATATATATACAGTCAAACTTGCCATGATGGCGACCTCTATAATACGGCCACCTGTACAGCATTTTTTCGATCTATTTTGACTGCTTAAAACGGGCACCTGTCCAATGCGGCCGCGGCCGCCCTATTCTATCAACGGCCAACCCAATTTACCTGTCTGATACGCCAGGCTTTGTCAAAAACTAAGCATTATCCCCTGACGCTGCGGACAAACCGTCATAATTCATTCATCTGTCGTTTGTCAGTCCCTCGAATGGATGAACGGTCATGTTGCTTAGATTGCTCCCAATGTTTACCCAAATTGACCAATGGGTAACAATAAATTTTCAGCTGCTGGTAAGAGAAGCGTGTGATCCGTCTTAATCCATAAGCCCCGCCCTTGACTCAGTCCCTAAACCAGGTCCATAACAAAGGAAGTCAACGCTAACTCGTGACAGAAATGTCGTTCATTTACCGAGTGGTAGTAACCCGTTTGTTTTACTATGGCTCTTGGTCTTTCTAGTCTGACACATTTTGTTTTGTTTTGACCTTTCGCAGAACTATAATTTTGGTAAAAGTAATAATAATAAAACGAACTACAAAAAGTCCAACAAAAACTGTCCTTTCTCAGAAGAGAGAAAAAAAAAAAAAGCAACAACAAAATTTTAATGAGCCCTACAGCAGTTATTAACTGCAAGCACCTCCAGTTGGGACTCAGAAGTAAATGGTTTGTTTTCTTCTTTTTGATAAGTCCTGCCTAAGACGAGCACCTCACCTGTCTTATACTGCCACTTTTCTCCGCGACAATGCGTGGTCGTCTTACATAGGTTCGACTGTATACCCAGTGTTGTAACTCATTTATTTCTGCTGGTTGTAGCCAAAGTATGTGTTTTTGATCTCAATTACACAACTGAAGTCTTTGTAACCTTTATGTTCCCCAGCTAGATTTTAACAGAAAAATAATCTCTTCCAAATGAAGTTTGTGTCCAGTAGGGCTTTAGAGATTTTTCGAGCTCTAAACATATCTGTTGTTGTTCCAGTGGTCAGGCTATTGGGCTTAAATGTAATTATTATTAATGATTAAAATTATTATTATTGGGAGCTCTTGTGGTCGAGAGGTACACATTGTTCGCCTCTCATTCAAAAGGGCCTGGGTTGGAAATCTGACAGCAATGAAAAACATTTCTTCTAGAAAATTTTCTCCTGTCACTTTATTTACCAGTCTCTAGTCCTGCTCTGTCAGCTGCTTTCTTCTCCACCCCACCCCACCCCTGGCCTCCTTTGGGCTCCTCTCTCCTTTACTCCTGACTCCTTCTACTGCTATCCCTTGCTCTGTCTTACTGCTACTGTCTTTCAGCCACAAACCTGATCTCAGGGTAGGTAAGATCGAACACCTTCCCGGAGAATGGCCAAAAATCTTGGTAGTGGGATGTCCAAGATGCACGTGGTAAAGAGATCCCTTGGTGGTCTTAAAATCGATAGGATTAGGCTTCGGTCACCGCCTGAAAAAATTTCCAAATTAATTCCTACCAAGACTGAAAAATACTTTAGTCCGTATAAAAACATAGAGTTCCTTCGAAAATGGAACGTGGTTGCCTGAAGGCAAGGGTTAAGTAGAAAAAAGAGTCACGTGTAAAAATCAGTTGCATTGCACTGCAGGTTGAAGAATCAGCAGCCGACTAGATCTACCTCTGAGGTCTCACAGGGAATGCATGGAAGAAGATTATTGTTGTTATTAATCCATCATGAAAATGATATATATGTGTGTGTGTGTGTGTGTGTGTGTGTGTGTGTGTGTGTGTGTGTGTGTGTGCTTATGAATGTTCTTGCATGCATGCGTGCCTGCATGTGCATGCCTGCATTTACGTGTATTGCAACGGAGTAGGATCAGGCGCTTGTCAATTTTGGGGTAATTGGAGATATTGATATAATCTTAAAAGCTTTTCCTTTTGCCTTGCGTTTGATGAAAAAAGTACCCATCGTTTTAACGTCTGTAATTTGATTAAAGAAGAATGGACTGTTTTTACAGAATCCTGTCTCTGAGAGACACAGGCTTGCTGCATTCCTGGGCCGTAACTATGACGAAGAGTTCATCCTCCAAGTTGCTGAGGCCACCAGTATAGACAGGATGAGGCAACAGAAGGGTGGACCGAAAGATAGCAACGGTTCTATTTTCTACAGAAAAGGTAAATACAGTCAAGCACGCACAGTAGTGGTGGGTGGATTATAATTTGTGTGGGGCTTAAAGTTGCTTCCACTTCTTTACCACCAAATAGCAAGCAACAAGAACAAACATAATTTGGGTGGGGCTTGATTTGCTTCCCCTTCTTTACCTCCAAATAGCAAGCAGTAAGAACGAAACAGTGGTGATTTCTCTATAGTCACGGTGAGCCTCAGCATTTTGAGAACCATTCAAACAAGAAGAGTCTCCTTTGTTTTCCATCTCTTTGTTCTAAGATAGATTCTTCGGGATGGAAAAGTTGCCTTAAAAGTGGAATTGACATGATTTATAACTGATAAATCTCAGCGGCACAGACATGAACATGCACACACAGCACTTCAAACTTATTCGATCTATGAGCTGGATTAGGCCGTGTAGTCGTGGAAAGAAGAAGGCACCTAACAAAGGTCCAATGAGAGCGTAGGTATCCGTGTCACTGGGGGAAAGTGTATCATAACCTTTCACCCAGTTTTCAGGACTAGGAGAGCGTGAGCCCTCAATACAGTGTTCTTTTATCCAGTCTTCTACCTTTTTACATGAAGAGTTTCATTTCGGAAGATGCGTGGGAATGGGCTTATCCTTTGCTGACCCCTAAAGACATTTGATTGGCTGTTAGGTTACTATGGTTGTAAGAGGTGGCGACAGTGCTTAGATAAATGAGCAAGCCGCCAAGTTGATCACTCTGTGTTCATTGTGTGCGATCATAGTGTTCTCAGCTGCTTATTTCGTTATTTAAAAAACTTTAATTTACTTTGGGATAGAGTTGGGGGGGGGGGGGGGCTCAGGCCCGTATGCCCTTCACTACCCACCACCACTGAACCCGCACATTGTGAATTCGAAGGGATATATGGAAATCTTTTTGTTATGTACAAATTTCGGCATGGATAGCTCAAGTGTATTGGGTATTGACAAATTAAATGGGTTTGACACATCCATAATTTAGGTAAACCGATAAAACTAAAAATTAAAAACTGAAGTAAATCAAGAGACCTAATTGTGAAGGAACTATGGTCGGAAAATACATTTTTGTCGTGGCTTTACTGTAGCAGATTCGTCACGCAAGCTATTTTTTAGTAATACCATGTCTCTTTTTTAACTTTTGGAACCATCCTGAGGTGCATTTGAAGTGAAGGCCAAATTCCTTTATGATTTCAAGTATTTTGTCGTCAGTATGGTACTAGGGATAAGAATAAAAAATAGACATGGCACATGCTTGCTGGAATAATGGAAACAATGCCAGCTCGTTTTTTTTTTCAATTTAGCAAAATGTACTCACTTGCTGTCGGGATAACATTCCAATGCTGGCCTTTTCAGTTTTACATCTATTTTTTAGAAATGTTGAAACATTGATTCGAGGATACTAAATCTATTACAAAGTTTAATTTCTTTCTTAGTACAGAACTTTTTGCCAACATCCGCTAAAATCTAAGGCCGGTCCCTGAGTGGCTCTGTAGGTCTGACCTGCAGTTCACCTAGCTCGCACCGTGAAAATGAACGTATACATTATCGTGTGCTTGAGCTGCGTCGCTGTATGGTCTGTCTGTTGTCAGCTGCATTGCACGACGAGTCAGACGTGCTATTCAACAGTGTTGTAAAACTCGTCTGTCATGTCTGGGCACGCAGCCTCGCTTCATGTTTTTTTTTTTTCTACTGAAATTCTTCACAGGTCATTAAAATCAGCAAGAATTAAGTATTATTGATATTAGGTGCTTTACTAATTTAATATTGATTCTAGCATCAACAATTTTCCTCATAATCCCAAGAAATGCACTTTATCATACTTTAAAATTTCGAATGGAGAGGTAGACCTAGTTTCAACTGTTTGTTTACATTCATAGGCCTGTGTGCTTCTAGGCTAGATCTAGATCTAGATTGATAGTTCAGGAGTTGAGACACAGAAGAATATCCAGGAGAAAATACGTACAACTCTCACACAGGGTTCCCACTGGTCTTTAAAAAAATCCTTAAATTAAAATCCTAGTGCGGCCAAAGAAACATGATCTTGGGTGCGGCTGTGCTGACACACAGCGAGCAACACTGCGAGCAGGCCTCGCGCTCGCTCAGACACAGAAGCCTATGCACAGTGCGGCTGTGCTGACATGCAGACGGCGGCACTAGGCGAGCTAAAAGTCAGACCTGCAGAGCCACTCTGGGACCGGCCTAATGCATGGTTTCTGTTGTCAGGCAATTAGTTCATAAAAGTTGTTCTATTTAACACCACACAATTTGTATGCGAATATTTTTATGGTAAACATTGTATTGCAACATTGACAAAAGACTCAGGACTGTTGTGTTGCAGTTCGGTGCTTCACTATCGCATGCAGTAGATCTAAGTTCGATTTTTGGGTTTTGGGTGTGTGTTTGTGTGCGTGTGTGTGTGTGTGGGGGGGGGGGGGGGATTTTTATTGAGTATCTCTTTCTTTCTGCTGGGACATTGTTTCCCTCTGTCGCCCCAAGTTAGCCCAAGTTGGCCCTGACCTGCTTCCTTAACCATTTAGCTCTTGGAGATTTGTCTTGATGAATGGCCCGAAATTGTGGAAAAGGGAGAAAATCTTCTTAAAATATGTATCATATAATCTTCTTTTAAAATTAGTTTTAAAGAATCATTTACAAAATGATTTGGGGGGGTGGGGGAGGATGTAGCTACATAAGGAAAAGAATTCTGCTCCCAAACGAACTATTTTCCGTTGTGGTACAGTATGGGCAAGTTATTTTGTTCTCTTATTACACTCATCTATTTTGTCAAATTAAACAATAATAACCTGCTCTTCTAGTGTCTTAAAAATACAACATTATGGTAGACCTTAAAATGAACTTCCAGTGTGTCTTAATTTGATCGAGATTGCTTCACAGGCTGAATTTCTATGTATTTCCAAAGTTTCCTTGGAGCTGCCCAATTTTCAACTCGATTGCACCCTCCATTTCGTTTTGTTTGTATTTAAAATTAACACATGCACTACGTCTGGGTCAATTTCTACGATGAAAAAAATCAAAGAATGAAGAAAAACTATAGCCTCATTTTCAGTCAATTCTAATCGGACATTATTCCCAGGTCTCATAGAAACGTATATCACGGCAGTGTGCGCGCATTCGGCAATAGAAGCGCCGGGCAATGCAGCTGTAGATGTTAATCGATAGACTCTGCACAATACCGCTGTTAGTGTTAAATGGTTAATTATCTATATTGTGTTGATGGGACTTAAAACACCTACATTTTTTAAAAAAGATTAACAGAAGGCAACTTCAGTGTTGTATGGTCTTATTGTTAACTCTGTGTTTTTAATCAACTTTTGTGGGTTCAGGACCGTGAAGGACTTTCAAGATGTGTTGTATAATTTGTATGTAAGATGTCAGAGATATGCCTTTAGCAATGTGGGTGAGTTTTTTAAAATACTGTGTGTTTGTTAAAGTGTATTGTTTTGTGTTTGTTGGAATTTTAGTTTTGTTTTGTTTTTTGTTAAAGTGTATTGTTTTGTGTTTGTTGGAATTTTAGTTTTGTTTTGTTTTTTGTTAAAGTGTATTGTTTTGTGTTTGTTGGAATTTTAGTTTTGTTTTGTTTTTGTTAATAATGTTTGTGTATAGGTGCTTTGTTTTATTTGCCTGTGTTTGTTTTGGAACATGTCTTCTGATTTTTTTTCTAAGGATGTGTGTGTGCATGTGTGTGTGTGTGTGGTGTGTGTGTGTGTGTGTGTGTGTGTGTGTGTGTGTGTGTGTGTGTGTGTGTTTGTGTGTAAGATATGAGTGTGTCTGTATATGTGAATGAGAATACATTTTTTAAAATGTTTGTGTGTCTTTGTCAATGGAGGGATCTCTGTGCATTTTTTTCCCATGTGAATATTCCCAAATGTATTATGTTTTTTTCTTGTTTCAGGCGAAGTTGGAGATTGGAAGAATCACTTCACTGTCGCGGAGAGCAATTGGTTTGATGATATGGTTGCTTCTCGGCTCAAGGATTGTAAAATGTTCAAATTTGTGTACTCGTTATGATACAAAACTATGAGTAGTGTGGTATATCTGGGTCGTCATTTGGATACTCCCGTCTGGAAAGTTGTCTGTATTAATGATGTAGTCATAACTTATTAGAGTTGGTGCCAAACAGTACATTTTTATATTCATTTTAAGTGAAAAAGTAACCAACATATCAAAAGAACTTTTCATTCTGAGCTTTTCGATACCAAAATTCTTTTCAACTGTATAGTATATGCTTCCGTGGAAGCTGAGAATGTTTCTGAGTGTTCTCAGAGGGTCTGCTGGGGTAATAATAGTTGTAAAGCGCATAGAGCAAGCTCTTGAGCATGGATATGTGCTATATAAATGCAATTATTATTATAATTATTATTAGTACAGGGTTGCCAGTTTTCTTGCTAAAGCCGGAGTCCGGCTTTTTGAAATCTTGCGACCGGGAACATTTTTCCTGCCTGGTTGACAAATTGTAACCCGACACCAGCTACGCTTAAAGGAAGGCCATAGAGTTATCTATGAGGAAGACCAGAACGGGTCGTTGAACTCTTGTGCGTTTGTGGTTGGGGCTGGGCATTATTCGTTTTTTATTCTTTTTTTTTTTTTAACGAATAAATAGATAGCTAGTTTTGAAAAAATCCGAATAAACAAAACGAGTTAGAAACTAGATACTTCATTTAGAAAGAAGGACGGGTGCAAACTGGCTGGCCCCTCTTCCAAGAGGAGAAAGTAATTTCTTCACAGCAAGACGTTTCCCCATCCGTTATAAACATCAGTATGCAGTTATTGGTGAATGCTATTTTTTTCATATTTAGGTTTTTCTAATAGGCCTAGGCCTACACATTTATTTTAGCACGTGTGGATATCTCATCTGTTTTTATTGAAGTGCCACGCACTGCGCATAGAATTTTATACTTTTTTGTCAGAGACTGCTGACAACCATTTTTAGAGACAGTTCACACATATATACAAAATTTGTTGCACCAGTCAAACTCTTGAAAAGTTACGTATATATTGGTCCGTACATTGAGCTCAATTTTTAAAACAAATGTGTGTTCATTAAAGATGAGCTAAATATGGCATAAAAAATGGTCCAGAAGCCAGTTTCACACTTTTGTTAATCAACAAATTTTCATTCACTTGAAAATGGCATAAAAATTCACCAATGATTGATAAATACACTTTTTATACATCGAATTAAAAGGAAAGCAGAGCTCTTTTGCTTAAAGTTATAAAGAATAAAAATAAAAGTCAATATAATATAATATGCATCTCCATAGTCTTCAGAATACCCATTAATGACATATTATAGAATGGGCATTACTTATAACATCTCAATTTGCACAAGATATCACCTACTATCGTTGATAGATTCACATTATGAACACCAAATTAAAGGGAAAGCAACGCTCTTCCACATAGAATTAAAAAGAGCTCAACAAACAAGTAATTTGATGTCGACGTTGTCGTAATGGAATGTGTTGGAGCCTCTGTTATTGGCTCACCAGCACAGCTATTCTGACTGCTAGCCAATGGTAGCGGCTTGCGGGAGATGCTAAATTTATCGGGACAATTTTCCCTTTAGCTGAAAAAGGTTTATATTGCAATGTGAAATATGTCTATTCATAGGCCTATATGTATAAGGCCTGTGCTACTCGCCCAAGGAGATTAAAAGTAATGGAGGATGCTCTGTGGGCGGC